AGGACTAAAATGAAAGATTTCATATCGACGCAAGCATCGGCGTTTTGATGAAATTTTGTTATATGCATGTTTATCTACTGCCCCACCACCAATAAACTAAACCTAAATGGGTAATAGCGCAAACCTTTTACTAACTTGGTTGTTTCTATATTTGCGTTAATTAAATAGTCATTCTTAGCACAGTTCCGATTGCCTCATCCCGTGAGTGTTTCGTCCTGCTCAATCAAAATATCGTGGTGTTTCCCACAACTTGATACTCGAAATTTCTGTATCGGCAAAATTACACGTCACTCTGGGTTTAAACCTCATTCACTGTAACAATAAGAAAATTAACTTGAGCAGTGGGACTTTGCTGCACTACAATGAATTTTAATTGCTTGCGCTATGAGCTTGTTTAAATTTATGTGACAGTTATACTCTAGTTATCTCCGTTGACACCATAGTATTATCGGTTCTGTTGGCGGTCCAACATCTTCCATGGTTGCCACCTTAACAAGGCGAAGTGTCATTCATGATATTTACATCACACAGCTCGCTTTATCACATTTTGTAACTTTGAAGTGCGTGGAGGAGGACTTGAAAAGCACATTGTTCACACAATTAATTATGTTTTCTCTACGGCTGTCTAGCCACTACGCAAGCGACACATATAAACACCACCACAATTCCATGATGCATCAGTTTGTTTTTCATCTGCAAATATATTTTGCCGTTGGTTTGTGCAGGTGTCTTAGGGGGTCTAATTAGATGGTACGTTTCAGCGTGCTTATGCAAAAACGCAAGCTCTTACTTTTCCGATAGTATAGGCTTACTTTATTTATAGTTTAAACTATTTATGGATATGATGGATATGCATCTGTAAACTGTTGAGTTTAGTCTTTGAATTGTTACCACACTGCGTCGTAAAATACCTACGCACTCATCTCTTACCTTGTTTTCGAAATTGGTCCTGGCATGTTTGCTGGTCGCTCAATTCCAAGACCAACCTATCCGTTAACATTACACACTGGATAATTTTTCTACCAAAGCTTGAACAATGTCGTCAAGAGGAAGGTCGACAAGGAAGAAAGCTGGAGTTATTGATGAAATTTCGGCACAAAGGATGTTGCTTCTCGCACTGGTTTACCAGTTAGCCGTAGTGTTTCGGATGGTAGTAGATTTATTCTTGTTTCTAATGTCTTGCATATTGCATTGAAATGGGAAAGGGCAAAAAAAACTGTTGCTAGCTGAATTAAAGTTTATTGTTGTCGACGTTATTTGTTAGAGAAAACAAGTTTCATGGGGTGGGCTATAGGTTTAGGGAAGGGTGTGAACGACATAGTAATGCAGGTTATGAGCTTAACCTTCTAACGAGAATAAACGCTAGCTTGTGTTCATTGAACAGACCACTGGTGACAGTTCACAACTGGACTTGCCTGAGTTTGAACTCAAATAATTTGATGGCAATCCTGCCACCTAGTAGAAGTTAATGAAACAGTGTGAATAGTTTTTTTGAGATGAGGGTTCACAATAGCGGGCAACAACTACATATTTGTTGTATTATTGTTAACATAAGGCAAACTAATCTACTAACTAGTGTATTATGTTGATTGCTGACCAGTTCTGCGTTCTAGTTATAAAGAACTTCTACGATTTATTGTTCTCAAATTTATGTGGTTTTCAGATAACTTAGTGATGGAGGGTCGACCAGGCTAAGGTCATTTTTGCAAGGTTCCATAGCCAACAATCAACTTCCTTTAATGAACTAGAAGTGTCACATAGCACTGACCCAGATGGGGCTCCTATCTGACTTCGACTGGTTGTAACGATTGCTAGAATAGTGCGGGATTGTCTGCAAGTATTAAAACTAGATTACGTGCACACTGGATAAGACTTTGCAAGAAGGGAGAGACATCAATTTTATAACGTTATCTAAGTTTGGCCCCTCTGAATCCTACATTATGCCGAGATGTTTTGGAAAGATAACATGGTTGTTTGAGATGGTAACCACTGGTTTTCAAGCTCGATGTATCCAAGCACTAGAAGGTGTGATATAAACATCAACCAATATGCAAACCACATAGTGGAACAGAAACCAGTTTGTGCTGGACCGCAGGATACTGTGATAGGTCCAGATTATCAGCGTCAGGTGTGTCTCATATCTAAGAATTAATGCAACAGAATAAAGATGTTTTAAATGGCTCAGTAAGGGTCAGTTGACATCCTCTTGCACATCGTATGGCTAGTGTAAACAGTCGGAGTGTAGTGGTCGCCATCACACACAATTATATTTGGGGCGTAAAGAGGACCCGCAGCAACAAACGAGTATCTGTTTTAATGGCTCCGGTTCAAGATAAGAGGTACGACTGGGCATAATGCTCGTACGCCTGCAAGAGACCCGTTGTTGTATTGATATTGACGCATTGCTGCACAGTTAGTAAGAAGATTTCTATGTGATGCTGGAAAGGAGTCATTCCCCGATTAGATGGGATTCGGCACGCTAACTGGTACGTCCTCGATTGACGAAAGCTCTGTCACCTTGTAATTAATTCCTTTGAGTGGTGATGTTGTTACCCACATGCCTATTGTGTAAAGAATTTAAATTTGCCAGTAGTCAGATATTATATCTTACCAGGAGTTACTCGATGGCCGCACCATAAGGGTGTAGATTTTATTGAGCTCCGACCGATTAGCCCACCTTGTCAGTGCCACAACATGTTGGTTCCGCGTCGAAAATCCCTCGCCATGGATATCACCCGGCACTAATTTATAAACAGTTGCAATCGATTGCTTTCGGATGCTTCACAGTCGAAAGTTTGCAAACGATATGTAACGGTTAGTTACGCAGGGAGCATAAGTAGAAAACTGCTGCCAGTGCGAAAGGTATTGTGTCGAGAGTATAGACTATACTCAACACCAGAAACCAGAAATAACTAGTTAGCTAAACAAAGCGACTGCACTTAACTGATAAGAGAGAACCTAGCCGCGCATCAGCAGAACATAAATATCCATAAGCGCCAGTCTTAAGATGCTGTTTAATCACGCTCCTATTCTAATGAAGGTGAGGAAAAGCGTTCTGTCACTCACGAAAACAGGTGGCCCAACAGAACGGCTACGGAAGCACCAAACATGCTGTGGATGCAAAATGCCTTCATCTTGTGGATGGTATTATAGTCAGGGAATCCTCCAGCGTTTTTCGACCCGGCTTATGGACTCACTTCATCTACTTTAGTACCAAAGATGTCCCGAAGAATGTGTTCAATCCATTCAAGTATAAATCCACGGGCTTGGTACTACCAGCCCAGTGGCAGTAAGGGTAGCAGCAAGACAACTGGTGGGGCCACTAGCTTAAATCATCCAGCGCTGATCAGACCAGAGCCAAATTCCTTCTCTCTGGAAGCGTGGAATAATAACACAGAGGCAGAAGCGGAACTGAGGATCCAAACTACCGCCCAGAATACCTCCCTATACGTCCAAGGTGGTGGAATCTATCAGCCGATGATCTGGTAGGCTATTTGCAAAACACCAACATTCTAATATGCGAGCAACACGGCTTCCGTCGAAACCAATTGTGCACAACGAATTTACTAGTAGCACGCAGTAGCTGGACCCAGTCAGCTGATGCTGAAGAGGAAGTTGATGTGATCTACCTGGGTTTCTCAAAAGCACTGATTCGTCTAGATAACCGGATACACCTTTCCAAGCTACAGCGTTATGGGATCGGTGAACCACTTCTAAGCTGGATCGCAAACCACCTCCTTCAATGACAATGGATGGTCCGAGTTCGGAGCATTTCTCTGTCCAAATACACGTTGAATGTGTTGTGCCTCAAGGCTCGGTGTTAGGTCCCTGATTGTTTTTGATATTTATCATAAACCACCCGCAAGAGATTAAACTAAATTCCTGCTGTGTACCGATGACGTCATGAGTTGGCGCAAGCTTCCCAGCAATACCCACAAGCAACTGCTTCAAAGTGATCTAGACAGGGTACATCAGTAGACCCTCTAAAATTCACTGCATTTCAACATCAATAATTGCAATGTGCTCTCCAAACGAAACCGGCGCAACCATTGTCGAAGGCTCGGTACGCATGTGCTGCATTGAAATGTCACCGAACACGATTTGGGCTTACTGGTTCAGCATGATCTATGTTGTTCCAGACAATCCGCTAAAGCCGCCGAAATTGTAAATCAACAGGTTGACCTGCACGGCGGGTGTTCGAACAAACAGATCGCTTTAATTTTCGGCAGATGCTTAATGCGTATGTTCGTCCTAATGCCGAATATGCAATTAATGCCAGACCCCGATAGCTAAAACATGACCTTAGTGCGTTGGAGCAGCCCAGCGTTGAGCATCAAAGTACATTATTGGAATGAATCATCTTCCATTTTCAGTGGGGTTGGAACGATTGGGAATATTCAGCGGAACTTACGTCCAAGTACCACGTGACTCGATGACGATGTACTTAATTCTGTACGATCCACACCATGTGTGTCGCTCTTTACTGCAAGTCAGTATTAATACCAACTTGAGTGTTCACTCAGTAAAACTGGCAGAACCGTACAGCCGTCTTGATTGTAACATGAATTTCTTTTCCGTCCGCATGTGTCACCTGTGGAAAACACTTTCAGAATCGGTCATTTATGCACCATCAATATCCATATTTAAAACGTTTCGATGACTCACTTACTAAGATATGCCTTGTTACTTAACACCATAACTCCATCTCAGTCATGAAATACACTTTGGATTATTTTACTGTTTCATGATTTTGCTGTGAAAATACCTGGATCGTAACGCAACAGCGCAAATAATTGTAAGTCCATTATTTAGATATTATTAACGCACTGCACTTTTATTTTTACAAAACCTTGCAAACCACCCTACGGAAAGTATAAAGCATTACCTATTTACCCCTAATACATTCATTCTTCGTAGTTCAGTGTTCATAACCGCTAACAAATGAGATTGGGAGCGGATGTATTTGCAGGACATTGACACATATAGCAGCTCCTTGCAGGATGTATCCTCCATTTGCTGTAAGCGATCCACCTAAGTGGATATTGAATGGAATAGTGGAATTAGGAACCGCGTTATTCACCTCCATCAACCATGCCCGATGCAACCAGCAATCTGTGGAAGAGCAAATTATACTAATCTATGACAGTGAGTTCGTCGGCTTTGCTGTTGAGGATCAGGATCGAGCCTTTGAAGACTGAGGGACATTGTGCATAGCACAAAACTAAGCAGGTTTGGTAGATTGTCACTCTGAGATAGAACTTTCATGACGGAAAGAGGAAACACAGACATGTGATAACCAAGAGATGGTATGGTAACAGTCCAGAGTTTACGAAAAATATTTAGGAGCAACCACTCATTTTACGATAGGCAATATTCCGTGATTGATGAAATGCATATTACCTCCCGGAACAGCAACACGTGCCCAATTTTACGCCTCGCGGAATCTAATGCATCATGCCATGATAACCTAAAAAGCGCACAATAAATTACATGTGGTTTTAGATTGTGTTGCAAAGTATGTGGGCTTCTCATTAAACGACCTTTTGTTGCAGGGTCCTGGTTTCGTCTTCAGTCATAAAGGAATCAGATTGCGTTTCAGGAACGATAATGTGAATGTTGCAGTAGATATAACGGAGGTGCTTTGCAAGTGAAATTACCGGAGAAAGATAAAAAAGCATTGCGTGTATGTTGGTAGTGAAACTTGGAGCTTGACGCTTCCTATTAAGAATAAAATGACCGCTTATCCTTTTGATGACAATTCTGCTTCTTTCTGTGTTAATTGTGCATAACGCCGAATAGTTAAAGAGTAGAGTGTTCAATAAAGGCAGGTGGCGAGAGAGGCTTTCTATACGACGTTTCACCTTGATGCTTGTTTGCTCTGTTATCTCTCTCCGCAAGAAATCTTAAGGTTTGTTTCATAAAGATGAGAAGTGCTAAGCCGTGGTGAGTTCACGCTTCCAAAGCGGGTTTCAAAATGTGCTGGAGTGTAAAAGTGATGCCGCTTTCAGAGATAGCAAAAGCGATCAGACCAATTAATTTTTCTGGTGCCTTAATTATATCAACACTGGGTCTGCAAGAAACTTCCATTACAGGTTTCATAAGGTTTTAATGTTTAAAGGTTTTGTACTCTGAACGAAGAGCTGAAAAACAGGGGAGTATTCTTTCCCAATTTTCTTCCCTGCACGACTCATTGCGAGTCACTGGTGGACCTTTGTACATACCGGCCTAGTTATTGTTACAGGAAAATTAGGTGGCAAACGCGCATGGGACGAGGAAGTTGGCTGGGGAGAGGCAGATGCACTTCAACGTTGGTGATCCAGATTGAAAGAAATAAGTGAATTGATCAACTGTAGGTGCGTAACTATGAGTCACAAGTATAAACAATCGCCGCAGTTACGTGTATTTATGTGATGTCTCTGAAAAGCGATACGGCCGCATACGCCTATGCTTGGTTTTGTGAAACAGAATGGTGTGCATACTGCTCATGGTTATTAAAGGAACGCGCGTGATATTTGCAAGGATATTACTTGGACATATTCGACATTGGAGCTTTACTATAACAAGGATACATCAAGGTGATCAGGTAAATTTGTTACCAAACATTTGTCAGCTAACTATGAGTGTCCACGTCGAGACGATGGAAATACGTTTAAACCAAAATAAATCCAGTCGATTTGCTTTCTAGAAGTTTTCTCCTTTTTAGTGCTTAAGCACAATAATTAGCTCAGAGTTAGCTAAGTAGTAGAGCAGTGGACCGAAATTCGTGGACCGGGGTTCGATTCCCAATCGAGGCACATTATTGTGCGTGAATATTAATCGTGAATTCTAATTTCTATTAAATTTTCACCACTCTTAAACATCGAAAATTAATAACAAGGTGGTCCGGATATCGTGCAGATGTGCGATGTCAAGTGGTCAATAATAACATGTGTCCTAACAACCTTAGAACTCGTAGAGTTACAACACCTGGTATTTGACAACAATGGAATAAAGGAACAATTTAGTTACGGATAAAAAAGCATCGCTTAAAATTCATGTGGGATGGACATTTGTGCGAAAATCAATTGCATAATAAAGTGAAAAGCGTTGTGGTGGACTCACCGTAGACTTATGTCGAATAGCGTAGATGTTCGCGTATTAAACGTATTAATCCATAAATTCACGAGTAGGCGTAGACAAGACACCGTTTGATTGCAGTTCGTAGCCCCTGGCTAAAAGGTCATAAAATAAAATGTAAGTGAGACAATGCATCGTCAACACGTTATGTAAATATCGCCCAATTGGGAGCAGAGACGACATAATTAGGGAGGGCGTGCCAAGGTTGGCACTCGCGGAGAGCAAATTAATTTGTACGGCATTCACGCCTGTATACTGAATTGTCAGTTTTAGAAGATGACCTCTTAGTTTAGTGTTGTGGATCAATTCCAGCAGTGGACGGCAAATGTGGTTTGGGTTCTTCAGAATCTGATAAGCCATTATGAGATCTCCCCGCAAATGCCG